ATGTCATCCTCTACTTCAAGAGCTTACTACAAAAGAGGATTGATTCCTAAATTCCTTACTGACCCTCTCAGCGAAACCGACTTTCCCATATTTAATGTCCGTTCGATTTTTCTTCATCCAAACCCACATGATCACGCACGACGCCCACGAAAAAATCGTCTTAACACTACTATACATAGCATTATGTTCATTTCTTCCTTTCTTTTCATCTATCTATCTATCTATCTATCTAGCTAGCTAGCTATCCATCTAACTATCTCAGTCTGTTCATATCTATCTATCTATCTATCTATCTATCTATCTAACCTGGTCAGTACCTATAGGAGTGAGCTCTTTTGAATAGTCAATGCTGCAAATCACAAGTCATTATGCTCGTGTTTTCGAGCGTACTGGCCTTGTTGAACTAGTGATACCGTATATGGCTACATGACACCTGAGCTCTAACATCTCAATGGGGAAAAACTCGCTGGTCACACTTACTGCCTCGAAAACCAAACGTGAAGTTTCCTCTTGACAAAGCGGACCTATCGCTATGAAAGTGTATTTTCGCAGTAGAGGCCTCTTGCCTGTTGAGCTCCTGTTGAAATTCAACCCAGAGCTCAACTTCTAAATATGATCCATTGCTAAAGATGATTGAAAAATGCTCTGTTACCTGTACCGTTCCAGTAAGTACCTACCTCCAACTGCTATTTTCTCCTTTTCCAAGAGCCCAATCAGGCCGAAAATGGATTAACATATATGGACAGGAGCTGCTCAGTCTTTACTTTCCAGTTTTGATAGAGTTCAAAATCATCCTTTTGGGTGATGAATTATTTTTCACCCTACAACTCCTTCTCCAAATATGAGAAGTGGCAAGCATCTCGCTGCTCTATTGCTGTTTCCATGTAAAGTGTTCAGGCAATCTACAATCTTTAGTTTCACCAGTTCTAACATTCCCATGATGCCACGCACATTTTAGTGAACCACTCCATTCCCTTCGTATTCCACGAACAGCTTCTTCCCACAAACCGCTGCTTCAAGAAACCAATTCCCAAGAGGATGCTTCCTCTATCACTAAAAATTTTATCCTGTTCAAGTTTAGGGTTAACAGTTATCTTTGCAATATATCCCCGTAAACTATTCTCCGTACTCTGTAAGCCTCTTCCTAAAGTGGCTCTTGAGCCTTGTACAGCGTGTATTGTAAAAAAATAAATAAAGGAAAAAATCTTCTAAAAAAGCAACAAATATAAGATGGAGTATTACTAGCAGTTATAATAGTGATAATGCTTTAAAAAACGCTAAAATAACGTAATGGAGTAAATTAGCAATGAAGTAATATTTTTAACCATTTCACTCTAAGCAAGGCGATAAAGCCACTAAAACGCAAGGGGTTATTAAGAATGAAGGAAACTGAAAAGAAGTTATTGAGGAGAGAAGACAATAAAACAATTCATATCGAGTTCATTGCATTCACTTATACGTAAATACCTCGCAAATTGGGAAAAATGCGAATAAATCTTCTCCACACCATCTATGGGTTAAATAGTAGGACTTATATCTAGAAAAATCATTTTTCTTCTCAAAAAACTTAAGCGTATATTCACTCGCAACAAAATAAATTATTCTTACAATCGAAAATTGGCAAATAATCCGCAAAATATTGATAAACCGTAAAAAATACGTCAGTTAATCAGTCGGAGTGGTACGCCCTTTTACCATAGAAATACATAAGGAATGAAGGTTATTCAAACCCGTCAAAGTAGCAACGCGAGTCTTGGTTATAAAAACCTGAGCTTGTGATACTACTGAATGGAGCTCGTCTGAATAGTTGCTATGGAACTAGTTATGGAGTAGCTATGTCTTTTGTCGGTACATACACTTCATTAGCTATATTAGAATGACGTCTCCTGGTGAGCTTTCGTAACCTAATCACTGCGAAGCATTCCATATCAGAGAGGCTCCCGAGTTCAAATCTTGTCTGAAGATAATTTTTCATCTCTAGTTCATGAATATAAATTAACGGTCGTGGAAAATTAGAACCGACTCGAGCGTGGCAATAAAAAGCAAGAAAAATAAGATGAAGGAAAAATTATTATTATTATTATTATTATTATTATTATTAATAAATAAATAAATAAACGTTTCTGTTTTTCACAACACCTGTTTTCGGGCATGCATATATTGGCCTGATATGATGGTGTTCCTAAATTTGTTTGGTTTTATTTCAAGTCTGTGATTGTAGTCATAGATCAAGATTTTATTGGTGAGGACCTGCAATATTCGTCTACGTTCAAGAAGCAAAAGAAAAAAAAAATCCTTCCTTCACAGCCTTTCTCGCTCTCTCTCCTTCCGCCATATACAAAATCTTGTCTTTTCATTCCCCGTTTTTATTTCTAATATACTTCTGCTTTCTAATATCCTCTCGAATATTCCCATCGCTTTAACACCTTTATCTTAATCCTAACCATAAATCTCACTGATTATTTTCTTGCATTTGTTCCACTTGCTTATTAATACTTTTTTCCTATTCAATTTATTGCTTTTTTCCCCTTCATTTTCCACCCAGACGTTATTATCGTCTGCCTCCAATCATTTTTTCTTATTCCATCACCACATTTTCATTATATCGTTTTTTTTTTTCACTTTTCCATTTTCGATTGCTTTAGTAATTGTATATATACTTTTCTTTATAAAAGTCTTTTCCTTCTTCGCTATACTTTCTGATTTTCTTTTTTCCATAGTAGCAAATGTCACTTTTTTTTACTTTCATGCAAACATCCTTCTTCATAAGATTCTTCGTCTTTTACATTTTCTGTTTGATATTTTATCAATTTACCCACAATGCATTATTTGTCTTCCGTTTCATTCTTTTCTTCTTCTTCTTCTTTATATCTTTGAGATGAGTCATTAGTATTCTAAATTTCATTCAGACAATAGTATTCCTTGTTTGTGTATTTGATATTAGCACGTGTACTGAGCACAACTGAAATGTGTTGGGTTGGTGGATTTTAAGACATAACAACCTTTGTTGGATCATTTAATATCGAAATCAGTATTTTTAAATGCTTGTGCCAGTAAGTAAATTTTGGTTTGATTTATAATTAGTTTATAGGTAAAAATTGGTTGCGTTTATACTTGAGGCAATAGATAAATATTGATCGTGTTTATACATGATTCTATAGGTAAAATTTATAATCTAGTCTATAAGTAAATATTGGTCTTGTCTATAAATGCGTTTTTTAGTAAATATTTGTCATGTTTATTTTGGAGTAAAATACTGATCGCATTAGTCTATCGGAAAATATTAGTCGGGTTTATACTTGAGGCTATGGGTTAAAATAAGACATGTTATACCTGAGTCTATTAGTAAATATTGATATTGTTTATAACATACCTAACGAGTTTTTGTAAATGGATGGCAGAACATAGGCTAGGAGGGATAGTAAGCGGATAAACATTACTTGGAGCGACGAAGGTTAGGAAGTTGTGAAGAACCATGTTTATTCACATCTTGAAGGGGAACGTCACAGAGAAAACATATTAGTATTTGTCTATATTTCTGAGATGAGGTATTATGTACACTCTTTACATTATTCGGACTATTGTCCTCAGCTTTGTCGCCATATTTATCACAACGTTTCGGCGAAATAAAGGGTTCAGTTCGACATTCCAACCACCTGAAGAAGGCCGGAGCGTACAAAAGAAGCTTTTAAAGGACACATGGCACAATGGATAAAGGCGTTGGTTAGATCCAGTGACAAGACCCATAATGTTTGAGTTCAATACCCGGTTAAGGCATTGGAGAACTTTCAGAAGGAAATTAACAGGAAATAACTGCTAACTGACATCCATCAAACATGGCAGGTGGAACTAGAACAGTCTACCCCAGTGAGCGAAATAAAGAAGGCCGGAGCGTAGAACGACCGAAACGTTGTAATAAATATGGCGATAAATATGAGGACAATAGTCCGAATAATGTAAATAGTGAAAAGAATATCAGTCTTACTTTATATGCTATTTTATCTTTATTATATGTAATATTGTTATGGTTTTTTTTTTTTTTTAAATTTTGACTTGAATTTAATTTGATCATCAGTCAGTTCAAGCAGCTTGAAAGCAGCTCGGCGTTCAGCCGTCTATTTTGAGTTAATAGGGTTATCAGTTCAAATGACAACGTTCGAACGTACCTTTTATTTAAGATTGTGTTCTTCCTACTTCCTGATGTAGATCGACGGCCGCACTAAATTTATTTTAAAGTGACTAAAAAGTAAGATCACATACATTCTTTCACATCGTTGTTGTTGTTTTTCTATTATTAATGTTATTATTTCTTTTTTAATTTCATCTTTTATTCTTTGGCTTACGTCCACATCACGTTCAAAAACCAGCGTCCTTATGATCACCGAAGTTAAGCAATGTCGAGCATACTCAGTACTTAGATTGGTGACAGATTAGGAATATCTGGTGCTGTATTCCTGGATGTAGGGGTGGTGTAAATATAATGGTTCGGAATTGTTAATCGAAAAGTCAAGTTTCAATTCCAGTTGGGTTCTTTGTATTCATTTACGCGTAAATACGACTGGAAAAGGTTTGAAGCCACCACTGCTCTCCCCATCTATGGGTTAATTTGTAAGGCTAAATCATTATATCAAAAAAATTTCTTGCAATCTAAGAATATTTTCTGACTTTAAATAACCTGCAAAAGATTGATAAACCGTAAAAAAACGAATCAATCAAACTTTTCTTCTCTACCCTCTTCATTAAATATCAGTTTGCTAGTTTCTCAGCATCTGTACTATAACTATACTGAGAATTTCTGGCGTGATTGGTCCACTTATACCCTCGTTTGTGAAAAATTCTTACGCATTCCCACTAATAAGGCTGGGATCAACCCATGGTACGGTTCTCAGGCATTTCCCAACGTTGTCGACCGCTGGGATTGTCTCCTCAGGCCAATATTATCAAGATGTCGCTTCACTGATGTATAGAAAGCTTGGTCGGAAAACTCGAGTTCTAACGTTCACCGTTGTTTCAAGTTTCTTCATTGCAAAGAAAAAAATCCAGCATTCACTTCCATATAGAAGGATTGATACTACATACTAGTTCAGTATTCTTTTCTTTACGTCCAACGAAATTTTCCCGTTTCCTAATATTTTGCTTACGTTCTGGAAGGCCTGTTTCCAGAAGGTAATGAAATATCATTGCATCTTCGAATTTCGGTGCCAAATTTTCTGTCATCTCTTAAAACAGTTCCCAGATATTTAAACTTTTCTAAACTTCTCCGTCTGCTTGATTCGTGTCCCTAATTCTTAGTTCACACTGTAATCTGTTCCTCTTGCTGACGACGATAAATTTTTATTTCTGATTGTTAGTACTTTCTTCCCTGTTTCCTTTGCCACCTTGTCTAGGATTTCGTGTTGAGGTTTATCGTTTTCTTCCTTTTTTAGGATTGCGTTCCTGGTTCCTGTTATTTCACTTCCAGCAGTTGTTTGTAGCTTAGTGGCTTTATCGCCTTGCTTAAGATGACCGATTAAAAAAAATGGTCTCGCTGTAAAGTTGGACTAAATCCGTTGTGAAGAACCATCCTTTTCTTACGCATCTTTTCAATTTTGTATACTTGGTCAACTCGTTTCCCGTCCGCGTGCAGGCTATTCCCAGTAAATATTGCGAACAGTTACTTGTAAACGGGTTGCTTTTTTAAAAAATTGTCTGTTATTATTTCTTCTTCCTCTACTTTTCTTGTTATTTTTCTTGTTTTCTTCTTCTTTTTCTCCTTCTTGTCTTTAAAGTCTTTGACGTTTTCCTCGTTTTTTTATTTATTTTCCTTTTTGCTATTTTTTGGGGGTGGGATTAATTAATTACTTTTTTAACTATTCCTTAAGGAAATTGAACATAATTGCGCTAGAGATAATTTCGCCCAACACTGCTAATTGCTAAAAAAAGTAAAACATTAAAATGAAAACCAGAGTCATGTTCTTAAATGGCGCGAAACTCGTTCATAAATATTTAAACAGTTTGCTGTATACAACCGCTTTCTCAGACCAATGAGCAAAAATGGCTTTGAGCGAGCGAAGCCGGCGGGTCTTGACAAAAAAATCATCCTTTTTAAAACATTGAAAACTTTGTGAAATGGGGCTGTAGAATCACAACCAATGAACTGTAACAAATAACAGAAACCACATCACTTGAGGACCACCAACAGCAACAATAATTAAAATGATTAGCACATGAAACATGGAAAAAAAAATGACATAATCAAGATGTTGCCATTTCACACTGCTTCAAATAAAAGGTTAGGTTTGGTTTGTTGTTTTTATGTCTTATCAACCTCAATGGGTTATTTAATGCCAACAACATTTTTCCTGGTAATACTTTGTTTTGTCAAAAATCAATTTCTGGTAATATTTTTTTCCTCAAAAATGTATAGCTGGTAATATTATTTCAAAACATGTATTGCTGGTAATATTTTTTGCAAAAATATATTGCTGGTAACAGCTTTTTCTTCAAAAATTTATTTCTAGTAATAATTTTTTACAAAGTATTTCTGGTATTAAAACCTATTTTTACACATTTATAATACTTTTTACCTCAGTTTCGGAGTTAACTATTTGCCCATAGCTGGGACTCTAACAGGTGCCACTACCCCGGGTCAAGGTAGACCTGGGGACACCAACAATTAAGAGGTGGTTCCGCGCTCCTCAAAACCTCCTGATCAGGGGCGTTGCTGTTGGACGTAGTTTATCGTCTTACCCTGGACGTGGATGTAGTTCATCGTCATAGCCAGGACAGTTAAAAGATTAGGAAGGAAACCACCATCAATACTGGAAAGAGCGATAACAGCTACTGGACATGAGAAACCTATTTACCTGAAAGATTGTTTTTAAGAGAACAATATTATAAATTTGAATTGACAGTAGTACTGGTTACTCGGCCAATGAATGTCAAATGTTTCCATATAAGAAAATGGCTAATATTACCATTACCATTTGTATATAATTTTTCTTCTTAATTTGTCTATCATTTGCTTCTGATGCATTTTCATTTATTTTACGATCATCTCATTTAAATCATTATCCTGCTTATCCGTCTTGTACATGCGTTAATTTTTCTTTATTTCTTCTTTTCGATTTCTTTTACCTTTGCAATTCCCTTCCAAAGACAACCATTCTCTTCATACCTTTTATTCTATTCTGTCATTTATTACAATCAAAAAACTATCATCGGTTCCTCTATCTTTTAATAACCCCTTTTCAATATCTTGTCCGCATAACGCCGACGCTTTCTTTTCCTTAAACATCGTCTTCCATTTTCTTTTCTTTAGTGTTGGCGTTGAAACCGTCTGTTTTCTTCCATCTTGTTTACCATTTATCGTTTTTCTGTTGAAATCTTCTTAAATATGGATCCTTAATACGCCAGCCATTATATTTCAAGCTTTTATCTTTTCGCCTCTCTCTTTAAAACGCGCGCATAAACGCGTGTGCACCCGCGCACACACGATCTCTTTCTCCCCACTTTTCACGTTCAACGTTATCTCTTGAATAAACGCGCCTATCTTCACCTTTCTATTTCTCTTAACCGACTTAATATGGCCGCTTTAGCAAATTACTCAGTCAGTCTTCCACGTTTTCTACTTTTACATCATCTTTGGCGATCGTTTCCATAACCTTTACCCCAGATCCATTTGTTTGATTCTATTCCAATAGTCTTTCTCGATCTTTTCAAATTCCTTTCATATCCTGCGTCTCCGGAACGCCACTAAACTTTTATTTTCCCCGGCCATCATTCCCCTTTTTTCATTTTTAATTATTCTTTCTTTCTTTCTTTCTTTCTTTCTTTCTTTCTTTCTTTTATTCATTTCTGTTCTCATCATATATTCATTTTTTATTTACTTTCCAATCGATCCATTCTTAGTTCCCGAAATGTTGTACTCATCCACAAGTGCTTACACAGATCAGCCACGCGAAGAAGCCAGTGTTTGAGGACATGGAGGGTTGCTGTATAAAAAGTGATGCAAGGGTGAGGGGAAAATCCGGACATTTTCGGTCTAAGAAAAAGAGAGAAAATGTGAAGGATGATAAAGAAAAAGTGGAAAAGGGAAAGCGCTAGGAAGAGGGAACGGGAGAAAGGAAGAAACAAAGAGGAAAGGCAAAAGGAGGAAGCGTATGAGGAGAGATTGAAAAGGGAAGAAATGAAGTAGGAGCAGATGCAGTAGGAGGAAGGAGAGGGGTATCGAGAAGCAGAATCTTCAAGACGGAGGGTCAATAATAATTTGGAGGAGGAGGAAGAGACGAAATGAGATTTAACGCAAGAAGAAAAAATAGAAAGAGAGAAGAATGAGGATAAAAAGAGAGATTAAATAAATAAATACGTAGAAAAAAGAAGGATGATTGTGAAGAGGAGGAGGTGAAATCAGATTGAAAAAAAAAGAAGAAAAATTAATAGGAAGAGAGAAGCATGAAGATAAGAAGAAGAAGAAGAAGAAGAAGAAAGATAGGGGAATGCTAATTGGAAAAGAAGAGAGAACGGGGGAAAGGTGAATTGAAGAAGAAGAAGAAGAAGAAGAAGAAGAAGAAGAAGAAGAAGAAGAAGAGGAAAAAAAAGGGGAATGCGGATTAAAAAGAAGAAAAAGGAGGGAAATGTTGATTAAACAAGAAGAAGAAGAAGAAGAAGAAGAAGAAGAAGAAGAATGGGAATCAAAAAGAAGAAAAGTACAGAGGACAATGGGGGAAAAAGATGAATTAAGAAGAAGAAGAAGATGATGAATGAAGATAAAAAAGGAATGGGATCAAAAGTGGACTGAAATAAAGAAGAAATGAAAAAGAGGAGGTTACAAGGTTACAATTTGTTAATGAGAGGGAGTAAGAGAGAAAGAGAGAGAGAGACAGAGAGACAGACAGAAAAAGAGCGAAGGAGACTGCGAGAAAGAAAGGGGTGTGTCTCTGATTGATTCTATTAAAGAAAAGAATAAAGAAGACATATTGGCAAAGATTAGTAGCCAAGAAGAACGTAAACGACAACACGGAGCCCCGATCATTGAAGGAGACAAGAATATGGGTGAATGGGAAGCCGATGTATGTGGAGTGGCGGCCAAGTAGTTGAAGAGACCGCCTGGTCGGTCGAGACGATTGGGATACCATATTGAAGAAGCAGGAAAGGTGACGTCCAAATAGCAAAAATTTGTAAACGGAAGAAGAAAACAAGAAACTTAGAGCGTTTGGAACGTCGACAAAGCGGTGAAAATAATGAAGAGAAAGAATTTAGGATGAAAAGAAAAAAGGAAAGAAAAAGAAGGAGGGAAAAAGGAATGCTACGTTAAAATGTTGAATATGATATGATGGTAGGCAAATGAAATGAAGGAATTTGAGGAAAAGAAAGAAAGGAAGAATAAATATGAACTGTTTGAAAAAGAAAAAAGAAAGCAGATGAACGAAAGAAAAAATGTACAAAGTGAAGAATAAAGTGATAAGTTGGATAAAAACATAATGCAGGAAGATTAGAGAAAGCTATTTATAAAGAGATAAATTAAAAGATGTTCTAAAGGAAGTAGGAAAGAAAGAAAGAAAGAAAAAAGTTCGAATGACAAATTAAATAGAAGAAAGGAAGCAACTGAAAAATGTAAATGAAAATACACACACAAAAAAAAACAACGAAAAACTAACGAAACGAAGACATAAAAATCAAAAACTAAATAAATGAATAAATAAATAAAAAAAGTAAACATAAATCGTAAAGATATCAGCATTTGGAAAAGTCTGCGTAAACTCCTTAAAGGCAGCCGATGAAGGGAATGTTATAAGCCGAGTTTGAGATTTGTATTGGGGAGAATCCCGCTCAGAAGTGGACACTCCACACCAAACTCTTGAACGAGCGAAGAATCGGGCTTCTATCGATCTTATTCCGACACAATCATTCCTCTCTTCCTTCCACTTTTTTCACTTCCTTCCCATGCTTTGCTTTGGCCGACCGTCTCTCTAACCTTCTTCTTTCCTCGCCTTCTCGACATCTCATGAGGAGCGCAGCAGCCGTCTTTCGATTTTAAGCGCACTCTCTTCTTTCCCTTTATTATTTTCCAATGATATAAGCGGCCACACTTTAGCACAACTTTCAAGAGAAGTTTGCCCTCTCCGCGAGTGGCAGATGTTTTTCGCAAATTGTACGGACAAAGAAAAACCCGATGAGAAATCATTCATACTCATCCTAAGCGGCCATCTTCTATCACCTGCATGTTTCCAAAGTCACACCTTCGGTTTCGACCTACAAGTGTTTGTCAGAAACCTTATCCGCTTGCTAGAGCGTTTGCTCTTTTAAGTTCATAGTGCAAAGGCTAAACATAATTTTGCTCGAGTTTCCTACGGGGGTATCGGTTGTGCAGGTAGCGTAGTTTTTATCGATGTGGAAATATGGAATCAGCGAGCCGAGTTAAAGTTTCGGCATAGTCATTTACTTTCCCTTTCACTGACAGGAATCGATTTCTTCTCATCCCCCACCAGCTATGGATTAAATAGCAGAGTAGGTAGACCAGGCGATGTAGCTTTGGATGGCAACCAGTCTATGAGAAGGTCTACACTGAAACCCAAACTACTTCATTAATACATACTATCATATATGCCTGAAAAATGAACGTTCACCATTTATTTATTTTTTTATATATATAATTGCTAATAAAAAATGCTTTCATAGTATTTCGATTATAGGAGCTGGAAGTGGGATTAGAGAACCAAGTTCAAATTCTGGTCTCGTTTTTTTTTACTGTTTACTTCGTACTATGCCCTTGGAAAAGGAATTAATCCGTCTTTTTGTCCGACTTCTATCTAGGGCTGGGGTGGCCAACCTTTTGATTCCATGCGCCAATATTTTGTACGATTAATTTAAATGCGCCACACAAACATTCACTTCCTTTCAGTCCGTGTTGTAATATGGACAGATTTCAAAGTTATAATAAAATCTATTTATTTGAAAAATATATGCTTATGAACATGGGCATATCCTTTTAGCACTTTCGCAAAGGACGTGCAATAAATATAAAACCACTGAAATGAATGAGTAGAAGTGGCTTAGTTTCTTTTCATCAAAAGGATGCAATGCGCCACTTGTAAGTATCCAATGCACCACTTATGGCGCATGCGCCACAGGTTGGCCATCCTTGATCTAGGGGTTAAATAACATGGCAGACTGGACTTCCATCCTTGAGTGATAGTCAATTAGTCTGAAAAAAGAAAATATTTGATTTTAAAATCGTAAAGCAACGTGAAACCATTTCTCTATCTTACCCAAGAAGTGATGGCAACTGACATATAATGAAAGTAATATGCATCGAGCCATGACTTTTGTAGTGGGACGTAGTATTAAAATATAATCTCATCTGGTTCTTTGGAAGTCGTGGAGTTCATCCTGTAAATTCGCAGTTTCAAGGGAAAGCCAGGAAAATACGTTGTAATACTAACAAGGACGACAAGGCAAAGTGCCGGTAATATATATATATATATATATATATATATATATATATATATATATATATATATTAAAAAAACGCCATGTCAAAGAAGAGGATTTTTTTACTTGAAACCGCTACCATTATATACGTTTTCGGCAATTTCAAATCTTTTAAAAGCTATTAGAATTTTAATAAAAAACAAATACATGAAATTGGATTTATGCATTCATTCTTTTTTTCTCGGGAATTGAGGATTAAAACCCATTGATTGTTTATTTACTGAATAGAATAATCACACAAAGGTTGGTAATAAACGATAATATTTAGGACAAGAACAACACATATAAGATTCGCCAGCGGCGCGTAGAAGAAATAGTCAACTGCTAGAAGTGAATCAAGTGAATTCAGCAATGAATCTTCAACTGCAGGATACCTACCAACCACCCCACGCGGCCAGATGTGGCACAAGGCCGAATTTAATCCGAGCCCGTACGCTCTGCCAAAAATTCCCCGTAGACCCCGGATAAAACGGGGTCGGGTAGCTGTTTCCCGAGATTAGACTCTGCTCTTCGACATAGCCTCGTCTGGGGATCCTCTCTGCCCGGAGGCAGAGAGTTTGACCAGCATAGCTGGAGACGAATCTCCAACTACAGAATATCTACAGACCACGCACAGTATTCACTACTGTATTTATGTGAATGGGATCATACCCATTATCGTCCGTAGGTATGCTACAACACAAGATTAATTTTATATTTAAAAATTCATAAAACTATACGAACCTAGTACAATGTACAGTATTTACATTAGTCGGACTATTGTCCTCATCTTTGTCGCCATATTTGTCACAACGTTTCGGCCGTTGGACGCTCCGGCCTTCTTCAGGTGGTTGGAATTTCGAACTGAACCCTTTATTTCGATCACTGGGGTAGACTGTTCTAGTTCCACGTGCCATGTTTGATGGATGTCAGTTATCAGTTATCTCCTGCTAATTTTCCCTCTGAAAGTTCTCCACTGCCTTAACCGGGTATTGAACTCACACACTTTGGGTCTGTCACTGGATCTAACCAACGCATTTATCCACTGTGTCCTTGAAATATAGACAGACTAGTACAATGTAATATTTATTATTTACCATATTATAAAGAATTAGCCAGGAAAAACTTTTTTATTCATAAAACATATCTTTGAACAAGAAAATTAAAATAAACACATAATTGATTAACTATAATGATATATTTCTAAAAAAACTTTCGTCGTAAAATAGCTTCCCTGTTTCTTTTCTATAAATACTTTCATGGTAATTGTTCTTATGAACATTCCTCTTTGGTAGCTAGTCTTTATGAATTTGAGCGTAGTCCTAGATTGATGGCAAAATCTCATCCTTTTAAAAGCACAAGTGAAAAACAACCAACAAAGCACCCGAACAAATCAAATCCACGTGTAACCGCAGAATAAAGAACGAATGTCCCTTAAACGATAATTGCTTGCAAAACAATAAAATATACAAAGCCGCTGTAAATTCAGCAGATAACGAAGAAAAAA